GATCTTTGCATCGTTCTGAAAAGGCGACCACACTCGGAAAGGAGCACAGGTCGAGTTCGAAGACGATAATTGTTGGCTGCGGACGTCCCCGGGTTTCGCTGGAGATTGACTGCAGAATAGTCTCCTTCGCCTGGTCCCCTTTCGCGAGGGTGCGACACGCAAGGACGATGGTGCTGCAATTCAACTGCACCAACAATCTGGCAGCATCAAGACCCAATCCAGAATTGGCTCCTGTCACCAAGATGGTTCGACCAGTCAAGTCAACTTGTGGAAGTTGAGGAGTCGAAAGCTGACCGCGAATAAATTGACCTGCGCCTGACATGATGTTGGGCTAGAGCCTGTCCTGTACTTGCTAGTAATTGTGGTCGACGAGTACAGAAATGACCTTGGATGAGTGGCCAGCAGTCAAATATCTCCCGAAGACTCTTGGGATGTCCACGTCTTATACGTTGCCTGTTTCCCGAGACGACAAGTCCCTTTCAGCCACGGCGCCCTGTGCAGCAGATTATGCATGGTGTACAATCTCCGACAGATGCTGGACTTTGGTTTCTCCCTTTCCAGGATGCTGAGTACATTGGGGTCCAGCAAGAGGCCTCAAAGCTGAGATTGAGGATAGGTCTCTGTCGTTGTTGGCATGTGGTTTGGGAGGCCCCCCGACTATTGTGGAAACAAGTTAACTCCGAATTGTGGAGCACCTCATGGGCAAACTTCCGTCCGTCTGCAAATACCAAGACCCCAAAGAAGCTCGAGGGGTTCATCATCAGCAGGCAGACATGATTCCAGCTCCTAAGTCCAAGGGGCGCAGCAATCTCGCAGCCTCTCCCAGCCTGTTCTTATTTGCGCTGAAAACGAGCAATTGCTGCGGGCCCGGACCTAGGCGGATGGTTGTCGATTAGCCATACAGCATCTTCATTAGACTTCAGCAATGCCTGCCGTACTCTTTCCGTGTGTATGAGAGGGCCAAGAAGCATGAAGACCTTGTCCACATTGTCTTCAGAGATTCGAACATACTCAAGAATGGTGATTAACAACGACACAAGTGCTTCCAGGATCTGAGCGTCTGACGACCTCATGCCGCCGTATGGAGCTAGAGAAGTCTGATCGGATGACGAAATAGCCTCGTGGGTTTTCTGAATCGACCTGGTTAGAGAAGTGGACGATTCCAGTTCTTTCATCTCCGGCATCGTAATCGCCTTCTGCCGCTTTTTCGTCCCGACGACACTCGAATATGTTTTCTCGAAGAGGATCTCAAGCTCGTCAAAGACCTCTTCAATTCGGCTGGACATGAAATCCCCTGCTGCACGGCAGATTTCAGCTACTGTGAGGGCGGCGTCCTTGACGGTATATGGCGCATTTGCCGCACCTGGATCGCTCCCAGCAAGGAGTCTTGAAACCACTGCCGGCCAGATGGAGTTCACCAAGGGCAAAAAGGTATTCTCATGCCCCGCAAGGAGCGGACATATCTCCTGCAGCATGTGCAGCAAAGTAGAGCGCACCTTCGGCGAAGGAGAGGACAAATGTGGAACCGTGGACTGTGCAATATTGAGTAGAAGCTGGTGGGACTTGGAAATCTCGGTCTCCTTCTGGTCTGCGGTCTGCTGGTACGGTTGATCATCCTCTACCTCTTCATTCTCGTCGGATAGGCTTCTCTGCTCCTCGCCTCGCACACCATCTTCAGCAGTAGTCCACGGTCGGTGAGGGGCACCAATAATGTCCTCCTTTTCCTCTTCAGATTGACGTTGTCTGTTTTTCCTGTTTTGTAAGTCGCCGAGGATGTCTTGTAAACAGGATATGTGGTTTGATACATTTCGTCTGCTGTCAGGTGCTCCTGCGGACTGTATTGCAGGAATGACAGGCTTCTTGGAACTCTCTGTCACTACCATTGTAAGAACTTCAAACAACCGTTCGACGAGATTCGAATATCCATGGAAAGTATCCAAGGCGCTAAAAATGCTTCCAATGAGGTCGTCAAGATGCGGGAGAAGCTTTCCACCACAGAGACGAATCATCATTCCGATCACTTGTAAACTAGTGGGAGAAACATCAAAGGCATTGAGCCGCAGCGCAACAGCGTTGATGAGATAATCCACATTCTCGATCAGCATCTGAGAGGCTGATTCATATTCACATGCTGTGGCCAACAGGTTCAGGGCCGTCATTGCATGCTGCTGGAGCAATGCATTCTTGGAACCGAGCAGAGTCAGCAATGGAAATAATGTCTCCACTAACTCAGGTCTGTACGATTGACGGAGTTGAGAAGCCTGCAGTGTTAAACTTTCGAGAGACAGTGCCACCAGCCGCCAGTCTGTGTCTGCTTCACCTTCGAGGTCAGGATATTCCGTCAGAAATGGCAGAGTGTTTGAATAAAGATCGGTTATGAGAAAGGGACGGGAAAGTGAGAAGTCAGGGGGGGAAACACTGTCGTCCACGAGCTCCATCATGTCGAATGCATTGCCGCTGTCAGATCTCAGGAACTGGAGGGCGAGCCATGCTGCCGATAATTTCCTGTCAACATCAGGATCATGCACATGATCAACAAGGCTGCGTGTAATGTTCTGGCTGAAGGCCTGCGACTTGAGCGTGGCAATCAGGTTTGTAAGCTCTTGCGTAGACGATTGCTGGCTCTGATGATTCAGGATAACCGGCATAAACTCATGTTCTGATCGTCTAGACTGCCGAATAAGCTCGCCTGGAGAGATCTGGGGCGCTTCGTTGACCAGTTTTGCCTTGTTTGAACTCGATTTAACTCCTGCTGCCACAGTATCGATTAACATTGAAGCAAATTTCCACATTTCTTCGTCTGTGGCACTTGAACTCTCCGTCAACGCGATGAACGACGTCGTTACCTGCTTCAGCAACTGCTGCTTGGGTCTGTCGTCATTACCTTGCATCACCCGGGGGAGTGCTTGAGACCAGTCATAAAATTTCGCGGTCAGAATTTCGGCTATCTCTGGCCTCGACGTTATCAAGTATTTGAGAGCAGATCTTGCCTTTGATCCATCAGGGGATCGGCAAAGGACTGCAAGCGTCTCCACCATCAGAGGCACAGATTGAGCGAGAGTCTGGGAACAGTCATCGATAACTGTCAGGCAAAGCTTGAGAAGAGCCTCAGCAACATCAGGACTGTCATGAGTCCTCAATTTGACTACCTGGATCAGAGCCAGGTCGATTTGAGATGCTGTCGCGTCGAACCAGGATTTGTCCAGGATGACCTCATCATCAGCATCTCGTGCTGCGGGAGACTTGGTCTGAATCGCCGAAGTAGTTTTGTCCGGACCGTTACCATCAGTGAGGACGTTTCTCAAAACTTCAGTCATCAGGTCCAAGTAGCCAACAAGAACCTTTCTCGTTCGACGGGCCTGAGTACTAGGTCGAAGAACTTTGACCAATGTAGACACAGTACGTGGAAGCAGACTGGCCAATAATGCTCGACTCTTGATGGCACGCTGAAGCTCAAGAAGGACAAGGGTTGCGCTGATCTGGACGGCCTCGGATGGGGCATCTACTAGTGCTTCGAGTAGTTGGTAGACCAATTGGTCTACAATGTTCCTGCTGCCAACACCTTCCAGGATCGTCGATTTTTGCGAAGTTGTCTGACGGACGAGGACAGCCATGCATTCGAACGACGCAACTTTCAGCTCATCTGTAGGAGGCTGCTCCGGTCGGTTGGGTCCTTGCGAAACCAGCAAGCCCAAGAGGATGAGCAGCTGCTTGGCCATCTCGGGAAGAAGCTTGTCTCCCCACCCTTTCGACACCAGTATTTGCACACATCTGACAGCCAGCTCGAGGCCTCGGGATGATATCCGCGGGGATTGATTGAAAACGTGAGTCAGTGGAAAGAAGGCGTATTCGGCCAACTTCTCATCAAGCAGATTCTCATCCCCAAGTGAGCAGAGAACCCGGTGTACCTGTTCCAGTGCCAGCAAGACTGCCTTCGCAGATGTCTGATTAGCCTTGAATTTGAGAGCGACAGAGCTCAGCTCGACACAAGGTGGGCGCAGCTGGGTGACATGTTAGTTGTGGGAAATTTCCTGCCGAAGATATGCAGCAACATACCCGCTGGAAAGCCTGCTGCCGCGAGGATTCCATTATGGAATGAGTGTAAGTAGCCCTCAAGACATTCTACCCGTAGATGACTGCATGTTTTCGACAACATCGTCTAGACTAGGATGCCAGGAACAATTGTGACAGACAAGTGCACAGCCACGGCGGCCAGGCAGTGAATGTGGCGAAGCTTGGCGTCTTGGCATATTTTTCAGTTCCCCTGGGCACCAAGCCTCGTCTCGCTCCTGGTGCGTAAAACACTCGATTTAGGCATAACAAGCAAGTAGACGTGCATCTGCGCGAGAGAAGATCTTAGAGAGCGATATCTGCCTTTTACGGCCCGGGGAGCCTGTTGACGAGAGGAATACCCATGAAAACGATTCCCTTGTACTACGAGCAGCAACGTGGCTCGAAAGACATCAGGAATATTTGACATTAACACCAGCATCCGTCGCACCTTGGTTGTTGCTATCTTCAGCTAGTCTATCCCTAGTGGCAGTGGACCAAGTCCTCCACACCAAAACGCAGGACGCAAAGGCTCAACGAGACCCACGAGGTCTGCCTGCTCATGATGCCGTGTGGTGAATGCCAACTCACTCCCCGTCGTCGTGACCATGATCAGCTTACAGCTCTACAACATCCAAATAGGGTGATGCAGCCGCGCCCAATCCATACCCGATTCCACATAGGACTGACCAGGACACCGACTTAAACACACAGCTCCGGGGTCGGCTTCAGTGTCGTGGCGCTCTACACGGGCGTACCGACAATTAGTCGAAGCAGTCTCCGGCTCGACGCCGACTTACAAACCATATGTAACGTGATAGTCCACATATCTTCTTTTACTCCCGGGATTTCCTCATCAGGATTGCTTACTCTTCAGCCGCAGCAACCTACGCTGGGGGGACATCGAATTGAAGAGGTAGATCTGGATCGACTAAACCACCTCCCGAGTTTCACGCTCGCCGTTCAACTTCTACTTCGCCGAGACATGTAAGCAGGTCGTTGGAGGAAATGTGAATCGACGCGTAAAGGACGGACTCGGGGATCAACAACTTGGGGGCGAAATCTGCGACAGGAAACGCCATCCACCAGCCCGAAGAAGGTCCACCATCGGCATTTCGGAACGTCTGTGGTCGAAAAGTCAATAGACGCGGATAAACAGAAGTCTGCAAGGACGTACCAGGTTGGCTACCTCCGTCTCTACCGACAGCATTGGTAGTGAATCGTCATTCCTTGCAGTTATTTGTGGTTTCCAAATACTGAGAGTTGCCTTCTTGGAAGCACCATGGTTGACACTTAGAAACACGACCCGACGAGTATTTCCACCACCTTCAATGATGTATTGTCTTGCAAGCTCCTCCATCTCCTCACTGTTATGGGAGGATGCTACCTCGAAGACCACACCTGGGTAGCGTGCCGCTTTGTGCTTGATCTATGCGTCTGTGTCGTGACAGCAACCTTTACGGACCATGTTATAAGGGGCCCGGCCACGAGTTCTGATACAATCGATACATTGTTCAACACCGGGATTGGTCAAGCACAATCGTCTCAAGCGAGTCACAACCAAGTGCAAAACTTCATGGAGGAGAATCTCATGCACCAAGGTCCGACCGATACGTAGGGTAAATGTCTGAGCTTGGGGAAAGTAGTTATACCTATAGGCTGAATGTTAGTGTCGTCTTTCCCGACCCTGATCTTTCATACTCGAGTCCATGCTGCCCGAAGCCAGCGTTATTGCAATGTTGAGTGAGCGTGGCGTGTTCAACCCAGCTCAGTGAAGCTCTGAACCAAGTTGAAGGACGTGGTGCTCTCCTTGCTATGAGACTTTGCATTTCGTTAACAACGGACAGTAACTCGGAATGTGGAGGGGCGCCAGGATCACGGAACACGGCGGTGGGGTCAAGGAGAATTTGGTCCAATTCCAGGTCTCCACCGGGCTCCGCCATATCAGACATGGTCCGAGTTTGCTGAATCGTCAGTGAGGGGGACCCACGCGTTTACACGCTTTGTATTGTGTTGTTGTATTGCCAAACATGAACAAATCCGTGACACTGAGATGTATTAGAATCGGCAAAGTCACTTCTAGATCCAGAGTCACGTAAACAAAGGGCAATTCAATAATCAACGCGTCCATCGTGTGTCGTGCGGGGAGCAGTGCGGGGAAGGAAAAAGACGCGAAATGGACTACGGCGCAGTACTGCGTGTATTGCATGTTTTACTTGGGGCATGGCATGGTGTAGTGGTGTGCATCTCAATGATGCCGATCCCTTATCAGCCTTCACTCATATGTTACAGGTTATACCTCGTACACCAATACGAGGTATAGCGATATGAAAAAGCCAAGCAACTCTGTTTCCGGTGCGACTATACTTCGACTGAGTCCTTCCAGAAACTTCATGCTAGACAGAAATCTTGAAAGGGTTCATGCTCCTCTAAGCTGCAGATTCCTACCCTGCTCTCTCTGCCTGACAGATTGTCTCTCCGCTCCTTGAAAGATGGAGTGTGATGTTCCGGTGCAAGAGTACTGCTCTGCCTTGCGACAAAAGACAACCTCATACTAGGGACGGTCGTGAAAGATTTTCGGCTACCTTAGACACCTACCTCGTACACATCCCTGCACTTAGGAGCACGGCGTCAGCAGCCTAGCGAACTGCTCCACCACATTTCTCGGACAACCGACACCTCAGCACAGACCACTCGAAGGATCTTGTGGAGGCCATGAATGAGTAAGTCCGAAGCCGACTAAAATACCGAATTCGTGGCTGATAATTGTACTCGGTAGGCGCAGTCTGCCTTTTCCTCCAACACTATGAACTTCACGAATCGAGAAGTGGCTGGGAGAGATCAGTGAAACTAGGTTTGATCACCTACCTACATCGGTGCCAATCACAATCCTCATGTGGACACAGGACAGACTGGAGAAGGCGTGTACAAGACCCAAAGCGTTGAACGGTGATGCAGCAGAGAGTCAATCTCCGCCTTGAAACAATGAGATGCTACTGGCAAGAGCTCACAAGGCAAAGAGACCGGGGAGAAACATGAGAAAGGTGATTGATTCAATGGCAAAATGGTAATGTTTTCGTGGTGCCGAAACTGGGAAGCCCCAACACGCTACTACTAGTAAGCGCTGTAGCTACGGACAACCCTGCTCGAATAAATGGCCAAGAGACAACTTCTTGGGCGTAAGCTTGGTGCTTCGGAGCAAGATTGGGTGACAGGAACCATGATTTGGCAGCGTAAGGTTGACTGGCCTAACGCTGGTGTCACCGGTCTGCAGCAGGCCGGGCCTGATCTATTCTCCTTGCCATGCAAACACCGTAGTTTGTCCGTGGTGGTCATGGTTGACGCGTCTCCTCTTTGCCGTGCCAATTGTAATGAAGGTGGCTGGATGAGAAAAAAAAAACACCCCCATTGCGATATTCATTACAGCTCTTGTTTGTGGAAAGCACCGAACCTGATAATTCCGACTATGATGTGATGATGGCGGTTTCTTGGACTGGACTGGGCGCAGGGAGCCACTTTGCAAGTAGCAGTAATACTACCAGTCGTCGTACTCGTACAAAGAGGAACCACATCTACGACTAACAAGTGTAAGTACAGTACTACGAGTGAATTCGTGTCGTCACTGTGGAGATAGCGACGCTTACTAGGTGGCTCCTCGTAGGCTCAATTTCCATTTCTCGGGGTGCCTGCAGCGGCTGCTTCTCGGTGACACCCCAGACTTCTCGACCTCTTACACTCTCACCAGGAACAGTGTCACGGGAAGCTTTACGTCCGTTGGACACACTGGGACAAGGCTGGATTCGCACACCATGTTTGTTGAGATGGTGTACCCTAGCATCCTAGGAAAGCTAGAAATCAGCAATTAATCGGTACGCCCTAACGGAAGTCCATGACCTGACCGCTTTGCCCAAATGCCCGATGCAGGATTTGTTTGGTGATGATGGCGGACGGGAATCACCGAGGCCTTTGTCGATTGGGTGCTGACTTCAAGATCTCTGAAGCCCGATGTTCAGCTCGAATCGAACCGAACTAGAGTGTGTTCGGCATAGGGTTGATGATCGCCCACACGTAATAATGGCCCAGTTTCAGAGCTTCAGGTCACGTCGAGGGGCTTAGCGGGCATTAGGGGGGACCTCTTGGGGCATGGGGGAATTAGCGAGGCACCCGGAGGATCCTCCCCGAGGACCCGCTGTGGCTGAACGGGTGGCGGTCACAGATAATCGGTTGGTCCAAAATCGAGTTTGCCGGTGTCACAAAGTGGCTGCCGTCACCTATGGGTCACCAAGGCACGCCTAGGTAGAGTTCAGCCTGTGCAACCCTCAGCGATCTAGCCTGTGACGGACTGGCACGACAAGCTGCCATCGACATCCCTGCAATTACTGCAATTACTGCCAGCTTCACAGCATGAACAAAGTGCAAACCCAATCAATCACCAACCTCCTCTCCATCAAAGCTCCCAGTGGTCCCAATGGTCCCAGTACCCCTTGTCGTCCTGAAAGTCTAACAAGGAATTGCGGAAAACTTGGTTCCTGATTCTGGGTGTCAAGAGCTATGAGTACAGTTTGTTCGTTCACCATTGCCTACACCCCCTACCCCCTGGTACTCCTTAGAAGATAGTCAAGGTGCCAGGGTGCCTACGAGTAATACTCCGCTAGGTCCTGCATCTTGCTGCATGCTGTAGTACTCCCAGAGGCGCATCCATCCTCAGAGCTTGTGCCTTTTTCTCGCTTCGTCACTGGCAACAGCGTCTCCACTTTCCGTCACTTCTCCAGCTTGACCTTTACTTGACCTTCACTTCCCAAGTCAAAAAGCTTCCCACTTCCACCTTCCAGCAACTGCCTGACCCCTTTGACACATCCCATAAAACCGCGTGCGTCAACTCATTTCGCGCTTCGACACTTGCTTTCTTCCTCTTTGCCACATCTCTCGACTTGGTCCTCTCCTTCTTTCCTGCCTTAACCCACGACCTCTCGACGTCGTCGTCACATACGGTGCATCATCTTACTGATCACACCCTTTACGTCGCGTAACTCTCAACTTCATTCACGGGCCTTGATTCCCTCGTCCTCAACCATGAAGACCCTCATCATCGCTGCTGCTCTTGTTGGCGCAAGTTTCGCGCAGACACTGGCCGACTTGCCACAATGCGGTGTGAGTATCTCGTACTCCAAACTGTCTTGATCAGAATTTTGGCTGACATGTCTTCCAGCAAGTGTGTTTCAATAACATGATCGCGCAAGCTGCTACCCTCGGTTGCCCTGAAGTTAATGGATCGCCTGATGTCGTCTGCCTCTGCAAGAACTCTGACTTCAGCTATGGCCTCCACGACTGCTCCGCTGAATCATGCCCTGTCGGTACCGATATCTCGTCAGTTCTTACCTATGGTCAAAACTACTGCAGCAATGGTGAGTAAAGATAGACTGTGGGACAAAGACGGACAATTGTACTGATGACTGTTAGCTGCTGCTTCCGCATCCAGTGCCGGTAGCTCGGTCGGTGCTCTCTCTGGTACCTCTGCCTTGACTGTGGGTGGTGCGACGGCCACTGGCGCTAGTGATGCCACTGCTACTGGCACTAGTGGAGGAAGTGCTTCTGGCTCTGGTGCTTCAGGTTCTGGCTCTGGCGAATCCACTCCAATTTCTACCGAGACGCTCTTTTCGACCTTCACTTCCGATGGCAGCACCATCACCACCGCTGTTGGCACATCCACCATCTTTGGTGCTGCTGGCGGATCAGGTGGCAGTGGCGCCTCTTCGACTCCTGTTTCGACCGAGACTCTGTTTTCAACTGGCACCGACAGTGCAGGCAGCACCTTCACCACCGCCGTGGGCACGTCCACCATCTTTAGCGCAGTTGGAGCCGGGGTAAGTAACATCGATCTGCAAAACGTCTTCAATCCCAGAATCACTGACGGGTTCTAGTCTGCATCATCGGGCGCCTCTGGCGCGAGCGCATCGGCCTCGTCCCTCTCAGCGTCTCTGTCTTCCCAAGCTTCATCGGCATCCTCTGCTGCCTCGAGCGCTGCATCCTCCGCTGAAGCTTCTGCATCGTCTATTGCCAGCTCTGCGTCTTCACGTCTGTCCAGCGCTACGGGTTCAGCCGCGTCCGGTGCATCATCGGCTGCTTCTTCGGCGGCATCTGACGCGACTGGTGCGGCCATGCCAGTGGCAACAGTGGCAGTCAACGGTCTGGCTGGCATTGCAGGTCTGGCTGCCATCATGATGCTGTGAATGAAAAAATAACTTGATCCATATTTGGGTCGGGTAGGAGGGTTGATAAAAAATTTCCGATTTGTTTCCACATCACTGTTGATACCCACATTCGAATGGCGCGACTTGTATCCCACTGCACCAGGCAGGGAAAAAGAACAATCGGCGGGCAGAATCTCAGCGCAATTGACTTGTTCATGGTCACCGCAGCGTGCCTATTGATGCGTAACGGATTTTACGGACAAACCAACGGTACCTTTTAGCACGAGCATGGAGCTTTCAGTGTAATAGGCCCGATGGAACGGGCTGATAGCTAATACATTATGTATTGAACTCGAGACAGAAATGCTTTCACGAGAGCAAGTGTAAAGTGATTTGTAGTCGTGCGCAGGAGCCAAATTCGCTTCCAAAGCCGAAGCATCCGGGCCCCTTTGTACCAGATGTGGCATGGATCATGGGTGTCCAAGATAGCCTAGCAGAATTGCCATTGGCACGCTTACCTTGGGAGAAGAATCTCCACTTGTGCGATAACATACGAGCATTCTCGTAAACTAGTCCGTCTTTTATCCCATCGTCCTAATATTGAGACGACCTTGCCCAATTTGCCAGTAGAGTTCATGTGGCATGTATCTCGGTATGTACTTCATATACAAACAATTACAGGCCTCAAGTGTGTATCCGAGGTATGTATGTATCGACGCAAAATATCACAACTACAAAGCACAAGTCCGGTGTGAGGTGCACATGTACTCGAAATATGTTCGAGGCAGATATGTTGCTATTGTATTACAATTCCTTTTCAGCCCGGCCAGCCAGCCAAAACAGCGTTCGTTGGATATGATGATACATAGATGTATCTAGCTAGATACATACACGGTTCTGGAGGGAAAAAGGGGAAGACCTGCACTTTGTCTGAAATTGAGCGACTTTGTTGGCTTTGGGACTTGGGGGTATGGGGTTTTAGGATTCGGGCCTACTCGTTAGGGGTGGGTGGCTGTTGCGAGGATAACATATACATATCATGAACTCACAAGAGCATACAGCACCGAAACCCCGCCCGCGGAGGGGGAGGGAAGAGAATAGAGTCGAGAGAGGGCCAGGCACTTGAATCCCACACGGATGCTCATCTTCTCATGCTCTCATGTTCACGCTTTGAAAGAGAATTGGTCCTTCACGAAAGAAACTCCTTTGACATTTTATATTGGTGGCAGAGGGGGTATCATTATTACACGTTGCGTCAAACTCAAGGACGATCGAGAAGAGCAGTACATCGTGTGGTACTAGCAGCGCAACTCACATACTCACTCACCCACTCACTCACTCCCAATCCTCTTCGTCACTCTCCTCCTCGACCTTGCTGGTGGGCGACCGGCCGATGTCGTCTTTCGGACTTCCCGGTGCCCGGCTGTTCGCTCCACTGACGAGGTCATAGCTGGCGTCGCTGTCGGCCACGGACTTTTCGTCGTGAGATCGGCGGCCTTCGGGCTTGAGTGAGCTCGGGTCCGCCGATGCAGGTGTCTGGTGTATCGTGGTGGAGGAGTCGTTGGTGTTCTGAGCAACGAGGACTTTGGGCACGGCTTCGTTTCGTAGCTGGGGAGTCGAGGCAGCTGCTGGTTCCTCATCACTGTCCTCGTCCCAGCCGACCTCCTCTGTTTCGTGTGCAGATGCTATGATCGACCGATTAGCGGAGTTTCTTCAACGGCGACATCTGTTGTCAACATCTCTGCCTTACCTTTGAGAAGTTCCTTTCTCTTTTCTTCCTGTGTCTCCACTACGTGTCTCAAGAAATAGTACCTCGTCCAGAAATCCTTGTACTCGACCTTCTCCGGCACAAGCTGCTCCATGGTGCTTCTCAGCTCCCTGTACTTGTCAAGGTCTTCTGCAATGCGGGCGGTCATCTTGTCGATATCGAACCCTTCTCTAAAGTCGTCCCACTGGTTCCCCGCTCCGCTGGGGTCTTGGGTGAAGCTCGTCACCGTCGTGTGGATGACATGTAGCTGCGCATCGAATCTGCTCGTGTGGATGACTCTTTTGCCAGAAGTAGGGTCTCTGCTTTCAAAAAGCACCTCACTAGCCTGGCGATTGCCAGTGGCAGCGTCGTCGTCGTCAGGAGCAGTTACCGACACGGCGTCCCGCAGAAAGTTTCGGATATTTGTGCCGAATCTCAAGAGTGCCTCGTCGGCAGCGTCCTCTGCTCGCTGCACGTCCTTCAGCCTCTTCGCGGCCTCCGTTCTGAATCGCTCAAGAAAGGTCTCCGTCTCTTGAATTGTCTTGTTCTGCTCGCTTTCTTTGCCGGCGCTGGATGATTCTGCATCCGCGTCTGCGTCCCGGCTCGAATCGTTCTCTCCCTCCTTTTGTTCTGCACCGAACCCCAACCCCTTGACGCCCTTCACGCGCAAGGCTTCCATGTCGACTGCCATTTCAGCTGCCTCCTTCTTCGCCTCCTCGTATAGACTCTCCCCTTGTTTTCTGACATTCCCCCAGAAACCACCCAGTTTGACGCCCCATTGTGAGTTGGAAAACGCCTTGAAGGTCTCCTGAAACTCTGACTGGAGACTTTGTCGAGGAGAGGTGGTCTTTGGCGTCGAGGTATCATTGGTGTCTGACGAGGTATTCGTTGCAGGTGTAGGAGTAGTGGCGCGGTCTCCCGCGATGTAAGCTTGTTCGGCAATATGATCGTATGCAAGATCCATAGTTGTTGGGAGGGAAGTGTGGTCAATGCGAGGTTGTGGAGAGGGGTAAGAAGACGAGCGGACCGGCGAGGTTGGCCTCTGTTGCTGTAGAACGACTGTACGAGGGGGTACGTAGCGACCGTATGTCTAGGAAAGAGGGCGAACTTCAGCTGCTGTGTCAGGGGTGGTGACTGACGAGACACGAGTTCTTTGACATGCGCGTGCAGGGAGGTTGGAGTGATGATCAAGGGGGGAATTCGTCGATGACGGTCACCGATCCAGGAACCACGTTAAGCACGTGCGGTGTACTCGGTAATGGTCACATTAACTTAATTCTGCCGTCTGACAAGAAATGGTTGAGTACAGTCTCAGCGAGCCTACGCCATCATCGGAGGAATTCCACCCAGTCAGACAAGGCCCAAGAGCATATTCAGGTGCATACATATACCTCGTACTACTTCTCCGCTCACAAGATGCCCCTGTGTCTCGCGTCTCGTACCGAACCTGCAAATCTCTGAGACAGGTGCAGGCGGCGAGGTTGTTAGAGACATTCTCAATCGAGAAAAAGGCGACGACTGGCTTGAATAGATCGGTTACATTGTATGCCCTATTCAATTCCCTTGCCGTCTCCTCATGTACCTCGTTTTCCATTGTTCGTTCTTTTGGAATACATGGACCAACTCACGGAAGGGAGGTCACCTCGTGTCATGACATTCGTAGTATTCCTTTTTTGGTTTAATACTCAAAGTCGTCATCCACTCCAGTCTTGCCCGACTGTTCCTTCTGCACCACCTCCTGTTTCCTGTACATCTCTGCTACGTCCGCACTTGTTGTCGCCTCTTCCGGCTTCTTGTCGTCTCTTCGCTGGATGAACCGGGGAAATCTGAGGCTTATTCCGTTCTTGCCGCCCATCTCCTCAATTGCGGCCCGGTATCTGGGACTCAACGTAAGATCCGCAGTCTTCACTTCCCAGACATGCCGCGGCTCGAACCAAACATCTGGCTGGTCATTTTTGACGGTCGAATGAGAGTAGAAGGGTTTAGGGCGCTCAATCACTATTTCGGAGAGCTCCTTGGCGAGCTCCTCGAGCAGGGACTCAGAGAAACCGGTGCCAATATTGCAAACCGTTTCGAAATTTTGGGTCTCTGGATTGTATGCGGCAAGAAGGAAAGCACCATACCAGGATGTGCGCTTACCTTTGCCGTGGTAAGCCCCTAGAACCACAAGATCCAGAGAGTCACCTGTGGTAGAGAGATAGTCCTTCTTCACTTTGAGCCAGTTTCTCGAGCGTTTCGAAGGCTCGTAAGCCGATTCTTCCGTGTCGAGCATCTTCACCATCAAGCCTTCGCAAGATGCTTTGACAGCATCATCGAGTAGATGCTGAATCTCTTCGACATCCTTGGCATCGCCGTATTGGGCAAATTGGAATTCGCCGTCTACTGGCACGAAGGCGTCATGTAGTAAGTCTCGTCTCTCACGGAATGTTTTCTGCACAAGCGCTTCACCGTTATAAAAGAGCATGTCGAAGGCAAAGACACAGACTTTGACCGTGACCTCAGATGTCTTGACATCTTTGCGCTTCCGGGTCATAAGTTGCTGGAACGGTAGGATTTTCTTGTTTTGAGGATCCCAGGCGACGGTTTCACAGTCCAGCACAAAACTCTTCGTTGTGGGCTTGATCCACGTATTGAGTTTCTCCAGGATGTCGGGGTACTTTTTGGACAGATCCTCAGAGTTCCTCGAGAACACGGCTGCCAGACCTTTGAATGCCTTTGGATCTTTGGTCAGTGTATTCTGCGCCGCTGGGTATTCGGAAATGGCTTCCGGGGCAATGTAGTGGATCTGAGAACGCTCCCCATCGTATTTATATTCGCATGTGAAGGTTTTGCCCTCGAAGCGGTCAAGCACCTCAGTGATTGCCTTGGTTGGTTTGGCAAGCATGGGCTTCAGGGGCACCCCTGGCTGCAACTTGCACGTCTCGTGTAAGTGGAAAATGCCATGTTCCAGCATTGCTGGAATGATGACTTCGTATGAGGGCAGCTGGCTGTAAACCATTTTCAAGGCAGCTTCTCCCTGCGCCAATTGATCCGTAGTAGGAACCTTGCCCTCCTTCGTCGCCTCGTGAGTGACGACGGCCTGTGCCAATGCAATGATGACTGTTTTCTCCGCAAGGCCCAGTCTCAATTTTCCTTCCAGGAAACGAACCAAGAATTTGGCTTCGGAAGGACCTCCTTTGTCCTTGGTGATATCGACGGTTTTACTCGTGGATGAGACATCTGCAGATGCCATGAGTTTATTGATGGCTCGAACTTTCTGATCTTGTGAACCTTGCCCTTCCATCTTGGCAATATCGAGTAATCCCTGATGGACACCACGGACAGTCAGCGGTTTGGGTTTGAACATCTGGCTCTGCTTAGATTTGCTCTTGGCTGCAACCAGACCGAGGTCACCAATCTTTTGGTGATCCGCCTTAATGACCGATAACGAGCGGCCAGAACTCTCTCCGATGGCTTTCATGATCAGCGATTCCCCTATTCCAAGTTCGATGCCAGCGTAGTCGGCGGCGAGCTTGTTCAGCATAAGTTGAATCGTAGGCAGGAGATCTTGTGGGGTCAATCGGAGTACTTGCTGGAGAAAGGCTGAACAGTAGGCCGTGATCTGGAGACGTTTGGTAGTGAGTTCGATCAAAGAAAAGGTTGTACACAGTGCCGCGTATGGTACGGGCTCACCGGCCTTCCAATCAGGATAAGGATCTTTCCCTGTTGATTTAATGGTGGCTTGAATTTTGGCCACTTGCTTTTTGTCAACCTTGGGGTTCTCATCTTCACTTGCAGAGACATCATCTTCAGCTTCTGATACACTGCTAGCACGATCTGATGGTTCTGGTTCCTCTTGTTGTGGCTTGACCGGTTTCGAAGACGTCTTTTCGGTGTCGGGGTCGGAATCCGTTCTTGAGACACCATTTGTCTTTGGCGATGCCTTGGGCTTATCTTTGGACGCAGAATTTCGCCTCCGTCTCTTGACCACAGGCTCATCATCAGATTCCTCGTCCTCTTCTGTGGACTCTAGCTTGTGCTTTCTGCTCGGGGAAGTGTTGCTTTCTCCCTTGTTATTCTCGACGTCGTCCGCCTGTCCTTTTTCCGGATCTAGAGTCACATCATTCTCCTCTTTGGGTGGATCGTCCTCCTTTTTACCATTGGGAGTTGACTTTTGGTTGAACGAGAGAGTAGACTGGGTTTTTGATTTGTTGCCGTTCTGTTTGCTCCCGAGGAATTTACTGCAGAGGTTAGTGCCGGCTTCTCATTACAGGGAAAATGATTGCGGGCTCACCCAAGGGTCGACTGCCTCCCTTGTGTCATATTGGGCTTTGGCCGTAGGTCGAGAGATCTGGAGTTGAATGTAACAGCGCGAAACTCGTGATTGACCAGGAGAAGCGGAGGATAGGACCGGGACAAGAATCTGAGGTGGAATGAAAATTGAGACAGTGAGTTCCTGAAAATCGCCTGAGGTCCGAGGACGCAACTTAATGGCGTCAATTTCATCCAGGTGAAGTTTGTAGTTGTAGCAGTCACCTGCGTAGTCGAGATCTCAGTATAGCAAGAAGGAACGAGCGCGTCGTTGACGCGTGGGGTAATTAAGGCGATTAATTAATTCGCGTTTGTGACGATTTTAAATGACGTCGTGCGTGTGCGATGTGCAGACAGTTGGGGCGGAGTGCCGGATGCCTGCTGTGCCTGTTGAGCCACGTGTGTACCTACGTAGATACCTGGGCAAAAGCAGAAATAGGCACAAGCTTCCAGGGCTCGCCAGCTACAATGTAGCATGCAGTTCGTCCATTCAAAATAGATCAGAAAAGATACTTACCATGTCCGATCCCTTTACTCTCACTATCTAATATCAGAATTGCACAGGATCCAGATCCCTGATCAATTTACAGTATAGCAGATACTGGCGTGGCTAACGCAGTTCAAATCCAACTCATGGCTGTCTGTACCACTCCATATCGACACACCACCCCATGTCAGCCTGAACAGGCACCGTCTTACTGCCTCGCTCGACCTTTCGACCTTTTCTACCCGCCGACCTCAGCCATGTCAGCGTCCTCGGGGACTTTCCTCTGTGTTAGAGTCACTTGTATCGATGTCGTTATGTTCTTCCCTCTGCGGTTCTCCTTCAGACTGGCCTCGATTTGAGTCCTCATCATCATATTCAGTACTATCGTAGTCGTACTCCTCTCCTCTGTCGGTAAACAGGTGACTCGGATGAACAATCTCCTTCGACCGGTAGCACTTGAAGCATAGGAAAAACCCTCCGCATAGATCACATCGGTAATACACTCCGACCACAAGCTACGGCGTTGTCTCCTTTGTCAGCAAACATCTTTGGTCGTGCATTGAACTTGGGTAAATAGGGGGGCAATGGACTTGGGGTCATCACTTACGATCAAACATGAGTCGCAGTAGTAATTTTCGCTACAAGGTTTGGCTCTTCTCGCATGCCGTGACGAACTGTCCCAAGTTCGATTCAATGCGGCGGCACGCAACTCCAGGAAATCGATGATACTGGAGGGCAGGTTGTAGTGGTTCGCGAGCTTCAGCGCTGTCCACTTCCGGTCAAGGCCCAGACCTTCCGCGAAGAGATCTGCCCCGTGGTGGAGCAGTTCTTCGAGGATCTCTTGTCTGTTATCAGACTGGGCATCCCAGAAAGTGCATTTTCGCATGGCCCAGAGGAGCGGTGGCCATTGATCTCTGTCCTTGGAGTTGACAACATCCAGACCTCTCTCTCTGGCCTTGTCTAAGACATACCGAACTAGATCGAGACGACCGCTGACAACCGCGAGATGGAGAGCGCCCCTGCCCATCTTGTCAGGTTCGAAAAGCTGCGCGCCATGTTCAGGTCGGCACAGCAGCTCCACCCGGTCGATCGATCGGTAGAGAGCATAGTGGATAGCCTGGCGGCCGACCCTGTCAACGCTGTTGACCTTTGCGCCCCTTTCCAACAGCAGCCTTATCACTTCCATGGTGCCGCTGAGGACCGCCACGCTCAGGGGCCCTCCCCACCAGTTGCTTGTCAGATTGGCGTCGGCCGTGTCCTCGGCGTCGTCAAGCAGGTACTTGATGATGCTATCTTTTTCTGGGCCCGGGTCGCGCAGCAGCGCCGCTTGAAGTGGCGTGCCGTTAACACCCGGATGGACGATGTTGGTGTCTGCGCCATGTTTGCACAGGAGCTTGACCATATCCAAGGATGCCATCCGGCAGGCACGTATGAGCGGCCCACCATGTGGACCGCCAGTAATGTTGATTCTCGCGCCCTTGAGGATCAGGTACCGAGCGATCTCCAAGTTATCTTGCCATGCCGCACTGCAAAGAGCCGTGTAGCCGTCATTGCTGGCGCTTTCTAGATCGGCTCCTCTATTGACAAACGCTTTGACAATTGACTCATCGTCTTCACGGCGGGTGAGGAGAACGGCTCGATTCAAGACCGAGTAACCGTACACGTCCTTGGCCTTCTCCAGATCCAGGTTGAACTCTAGCAGCATTTTCACAATGTCTTTTGCACCGCCATTGACGGCATTCATAAGTTCCTCGCAGCCCTGCGAAGGAAGGTTCCGAGGATCTGCCCCCGCGCTCAAGAGGCGGCCGACGCATCGAGTGTTCAGTTTGGAGACGGCCGCGCTCAAAGCCTCCTGTATGGCATCGGGGTTGATTCTTTGTCTGTGCTCGAGTAGTGCCTCGAGAACCTCTTCTTTATCCCATTTTGCTGCATAATAGAGACAAGTCCATCCATTCTTTGTCTTAGCATTGATGTCTGCTCCCTTTTGGATCAACAAACGTGTGGTAGTTGCATCGTCGTAGGCAGCATGAATCGGCCGCCAATCACCATCATCGTCTAGCACCTCTAGGTCTGCTCCCGCCTCGATCAGAATGCGAGCAATGCCAGAGCATCGAGCATATACCGCGCGAAATAACGGAGTGGCACCATTCCAATCTCGCTTGTCGAGCGGCGCTCCCTCGCGGACAAGCAGGCGCAAGGTTTCTTCTCGTTGTTGCGCCACCGCGACATGGATAGCGTCCTCAAGCATCTGGGCATGCTCTTCCGGAGAGCAGTGTTCACGGCTAGCGGCGAGGATCGCGTCGATGGCTTGTAAGTCCCAGTCCAATACGATGCCACACTCGAGCAATTGGTCATAGGCACCCCCTGCGAGTGCCCCCTCGGCCTTTAGCATGTCACCATATGCCAGTGAGAACCCAGACTCAATTGCGCTCTTCAAAGCGTTGAGGAAACTGTTCTCCTCCGGATTGACAAGGTCCCTGATATGGCTCCAGAGAACGTTCCAGCACTTGTGGCGTTTCATGGTGATTACTGCAGTCACCCAATCCACGACAGCTTCCTCCTCGAACTCTGCCTGTTTTAAAGCCGTCAAGACCTGGTCCAAGATACGATGATGTCCGAATTTGATCGCAAGCGCCGCACACGCTTCAAACACGTCTGCCACGTCAGCCACCTCGGAACGAAACACAGCGGCCTTGGTCAATAGGTCGACAATTTCAGTATGCCCGAATTTACAGGCAAGTTCCAGAGCCGTCTCCTTGTGTTCAGTCTTGAAGAAAATGTCATCATAGTTGACAAGGAGTTCTGCTGCCTCGAGATTGCCTCTGGAACAGGCGTGCTGCAGAGCAGTCAGTCCAGCAACCGTCGCATTCTGTTGGTCTGTCTCGATTGTCAGAGGTAGAATCTCTTTCACAACAGTGGTCTCCCCAAGCGATGATGCTCGACACAGGAGGAGAGTTGGGTCTTGAACGTTCTCCAGGTTTCGAAGACCAAGGCTGATCAATTCCGTCGCTGCTTTTCGATTGCCTAACTGGATGGCGGCAAGCATCACATTATCCCAAGAATCAGGAAGAGCGCCTAGCTTCTCGATGACTCCCAGAGCAGTCTCCAGCTCACCGTTTCCCGCTGCCGCTTCAACTGATTGGATGAGCCTGTGGTAAAGCAGACCATCAGACGTTTTTGACCAACATTGTAGTTGTCCATTGTTCACCTGGAACAACGCTTCTAAAAGACCATTGGCAGCGAGAACGGCAAGAGGGTTGTCTTTCGTGATGCTGCCCCGGGTAAAAGGGTTTTGGAGCTCCCAGTGCATCTTGGCCCAGTCCGCTAAAGGACCGTTGTTCCAGAAGTCGAGAAACTGATTGGTGCAGTACGGTCTTCCAGCCTCAGACAGCAGAGCATGGCGAGGCCACCATCGCACCGCGTAGTGCAAAAAGGTGTGTCGCTGTTCGACCGCAATAGCCGCCCTGCCTCTAGGCCACTCATCTGTAACGGAATCACCACCTCGAATGCTGATGATGTGTTTGAGGCAGAAGTCTGCTATCTCCTGGTGAGCCTTCCATGTGGGAGTTGTGAGTGGAGAATCGTCGGCCAACAGATATCGACGAAGGTCTCTATGGGCAAATTGGACCTCGTACCCGTTGGCCTGTACTAGACCACCCAAGGTGGACTGTAACCTTGGATGTAAGCTGAGGGTCGGCGTCTCGAGTAGCTCGAAGTTCTCGGCCTGTTCCCCGTTGCGTCGGGCTAGATCATTCAGCTCAAGAACGCTCAATGGGCGAATCGAGTAGAGCAATAGGTTCAAAATGTCATGTAAGAACCGGTCTGTGGCCAGAGGTAGAGAGAACAGAATGGCTTTGAACACAACCTTGGGGGTGACATTGCTCGATTGAAGCTCTCGTAGGGCCGGAGTATTCAGACACGTATCAGATTGCCAGGTTCTGTGCCAGTTGATCACCATCAATCGCAAATCATTATCTCCCCTGCATGCTTGGAGGAGGTGCGAAAGCAGGGTATGAGCCTTTTCTGTCATTGAACTAGTCTGTGCCAGTCTCAAGAAGTCAATGTCGAGATGTCCAGCCAGGTCCCTCTGATCTGGTCGATGAATGATTTCGGTCTTCTCCAAATTTTTCGAGGCAGTTCCGTTGACAGTTTGCTCTGGGACTTTGGTACAATCTTGATGCTCGGGCTGACGACTCGCTTCAACCTCGACGCCAACCTCTGGCCAGAGTGCTGTTTGTTCTGGCTGTGCAACTTTGAGAGTGGTGATGATGACCTTGATTCTTGCCTCGCATTCCTCGGCCAGGCTGTTGAGTTTACTCAGGAACCAGTCGCACGAGGTAATATTGTCTTGTAGATTCCCCAGTACCAATACAACGCCTTGATCTCTTGTGCCAAGGTCAAGGAGGCTCTCCATGAAGATCACAAGCAGGTCTTCTCGGTTCAACCATGCGAATTTGTCCAGAAACCCCACCAGCCTTCTCCCGATGTTCGCTTGCTCGCCTTGGCCGTTGTGACATCGGGAAAGCATCTGAGCCAAGAATAGATACAGCATGGACTCGATGGAGTTGAGCCGTATGTCGGACGGTATGAATTCGTAGTAGAGACAACTCGCACCTTGGCGCCCTGACGCTTTGCTGTCGTCCAGGAAGTGGAATAAGGATTCTGCTGTTTCAGTGGCAGCCTCGACAGCGTCGAGACGAATCAGAAGGAGTTGTAGTCCATCAGTTTCCTTCCATGCCTGGAAATTTTTGTCGGTGGTGATCCATTCGTACTGTCTGAGATCTTTAGATGACGCATTCAGCGAATATTGTGGAGGAGTTTGGGACGCGAGAGATAAAATGTAGCCTTGGTCATCACCTGGCCATCATTGTCTATTAGTATGTCCCCGAGGCCCATGGCACATGACGTTTGCACGAACCGCAAGGCCATAAACTCCGTTTTAAGAGATCATTGAAGCCGATAGTCTCACAGGCAAGTACCAGATTCTGGTGGGACATTTCGACCCCTAGGTTTAGGCGTGCTTCGAATGGGAGTTCCATTGTGGCCACGGATTCGTCAAAGATCTTTTTCTTTCATTTAGTTTCCGACGTTCACTTTGAAGGAGCCATGCGACAGATGGTTGCGACTTACTCTTAGAGATGGTTCGCCATAGCATGAGAAGACGCTAATCACTCCGGCCCAAATCGATAGTCTCGACTCAGCGAAAGCAAAGTTGACATCTCGGATCCAATCTGGCATTCCATAGGTAACTGCCCAAGAATCTGACTCACTGATGGATCCGAAAATCTGAAGATTCAGGAGCTTGACCAAATCTTTCCTCAGCTCATAGGGTCCATTGCTTCGATGCGGACAGCCCAAGAATACCTACTTCCAATTATCAGCAATTGTTAGCATGGCGACTGTCCATGCCTCGAGTTCGTCTCACAATAGCGTTAGTATGCAGAAAGACACTGGTATATTTCCCAGAGCTTTGGCCGGCCAGAGCGAGCGCCTGGAGAAAGGTTCAGACAGGTTAGGGTTTCAGATGATTGAGCAGAAAAGCAGTTGTCCTCACTTCCTTGACCAGAGTGCCTCCGACATCATGAGCGATGAAGACGAGACTGCAATTCTATATCCTTGGCATTAGGGAGGGCTGGTCCCATCGTCACATGGCGGCAAGCAGACATACCTCTCCGTTAATCGACCTTCGTTCAACCAGGGCGTCAAGAAGACGTAGCGCTTGACGCCTAACGCCCTTCCTGGTAAATATACCACCAAAGTTATTTGCAACGGCGTAGTTGAATCTCGAAACTCGCTTCCTCACAGAGGAAGTGAATGTCCCGGAGGGCAGATAGGAATCAAGGTTGTCAAGACCAGAGCCCCAATATTCCGAATGATCTTTTCCCAGACCCGGAACAAACACAACACTCAGGATGATTAGCATATGACCAATTCGAATAGAGCTTGCATACATACTCGACCGAAACCTCACCCTCAACTGGCTCTAGAACCTTCAGGACTGAATGGTAGTGTTCCATTGGAGCTCCCGTGAAGCAACGGTGGCATGTCAGGTAACAATCATTGAGTAGCAATTTGGCATTGCTCGGTTGCCATGAAAATGGTTCAGTGTCTAAATACTCAGCCCAACATTTCCTCCATGGGCCTCAAGCATTGACAAACACGCAGGCCACTTCCGTGAAGGCTAATGACCAAGCAATGATCTAGCTTGCACGTTTTGAGCAGGGGAATGAATGGCCTTCATACTAGCCAGGCAAAGGGTTCCCGTTCCCCGATCTGGCAAGTTGCATATGGGGGCCAAAGCCACAATGCACTATGTGTCAACTCGATGTGGATGGCTGGGTTTATTGGAAAACAAAGCATGGATCTTGAGTATGCAAGCCGCTGACAAGCCTGGTTCGAGAAGTGATAACGAACAGAATAACGCGTGCTAGTAAACTTAGCTGCGTTGATGGTGGCTGGACTCGAGATATTCTTGGTTCGTTCTCGCCCCCATGACTATTCGTCCTCGTGTTAGGTCTATCACCTACTCGTCTGTGTTCTCTGGCGGCTGCTTCTCCTTAACACCATCGTTCACAATGGTTGTCACAGTAACATCAGACAGATTTGCCAGCTTCAACTTCACGGGATTCCCTAGGTCCTCAGTGTCATACACCTGTAGCTTGTTCGTCGGCGCCCTCAGTGGATCGAAGGTGACAGGGTCGTCCTTGGGACTGGATTTCATAAAAGATAAGGCTGAGGCCAGCCAATTCGGATAGACCTTCACAGTGAAGCGGGCCTGGAACTTTGTCCAGTCCTCGCGCCCTAGTAAGACGGCAGCCTGCATGCTCGTAGGCACGCCAGTCCTGGTGCTTTTGTTCTCACGCAGAATCCACGATACGCTGTTTGGTTTGCCATAGTTGCGACCCTCGAGAAGGATGAAGCCCTGTAAAGATGTAGCATCAGAAACGTCTCTTTCCACTCTCTTTTCGCGCTTGAGCTCGGCCCCAACTTCTACTCCCGTGACATTTGCACCAAGTTTACCACCAACTGATGTGTTGACCGTCTCGCGCTGCGTCGTCGGATGGACGCTAAAGAAGCCCTCGGGGTGCATCCTCGCAACCCACGGCTTACAGTCCTCATCATTCTTGGGCGAGAAGGTGACTTGGATGTCGACTTTCTTGATGCGGTGGTTTTGCTCGAGTGGCTCGAATCGAAACTTAAGGACAACAAGGGTGGCGAGATCGTCACAGTTGGCATCGGCCGAATAGCGCCCGTGAACAATGTCCGTGCAGAAACAATCGACGTAGAATATCCCTTTTCGTTGAATAACGTTTGAGCGTTGGTCTGGATCATGGGGATCGTCTTCGGTGCGGAAATATCCTTCGGAATCTCCACCCTCGCTCAGCCTGATGGAGAATGATTGTGGACAGGCCTCAGAGTCAGGGTCATTAGCTGTGTTTCCGGCGCTGGGAGAGGAATCCATGCCTTTTTCGAATGCAGAGGGTTTCAGGCAGAGGAGGGTGTCTCAGTTGTGGGTGGCAGGACGGCACGGTCTGAAATACCTTTGGCCTCTTTCGCTCACACAGTGGACGGTAGAAGGCGCAGTGCATGCATCTCCTCCCATGGTAGTGCGCAAGTAACTTGTTTGGTGTCACGCCCACGCACCCTGGCACCCCATGACACCCCAGCCAACCGAAGACTATCAGTAAGCTTGCATTGGAATGGAGATAATGTGTACAAGTCTCTTCCAAAGATGGCTAGCATTGCCACATGTTTTCAAGCCTCCAGGCTCTTCCCCACACCAAGCGCTGTTACAGCCTACGACAAACAAATACGCACTTGAAATACTGCGAACGCTCAGCCGCTCGTACGAGATACAATCCTTGACAATACCGGGCGAGCCTTGAATGGAGATCCGATTGATAAAGAGCCTCAAGAGTCACGCGGGCGTAGGTATCATATCTCGCAGCAAAACGTGATCAATTAACTTGTTCATGCTCTGTTGAGACAACCAGGCTCTTCCAAGAATCTGACAGCTTCACGCTCTAATGTACCTAGTCAATGACAGCCGTTATTTCGGAATACATCTTACAAGCTATACATGATGCAGGAAACCTCCCGCCCAAGTCGTGTGGCCCAGACAACTCAAGACCATGATAGAGATCCACCGAGACTTGCAACCAGCAATGTGGCACGGCGTGGATCGTGCGGTATGAAAGAAGAAGGAAACATGGACTCCATAGAGACTCCAAGACAAACGATGAAGACAAAGCACCTTTCGAGAACCCCAACAGGTCAGATGGCCGCTTATGGTAGACACGATACTCTAGGTGTGGCAAGCGGAGAGGAGGAAGATAGCCAGATGTCACTGTGGGATATCTGGAACACCCAACCCGAGGATGATATCAGGCAAATACTGCAAGAGCTCAAGACTAAAATCCTCCGAAGGGAGATCCAAGTCGACACCGAGGAGCAACTGCGGGCATTCTTGGACAGTGACGACGTGGAATACGTTGGAATCCTCACCGATCCTGAACAGGAAAACTTTCTGCACATGCTGGCTTCTGACGCTCAAAATAGATGCCTCGTCAAATTCCTAGCCGACGAACGGAGTCAACTCATGTTCGGCACGGATCGATCCATGTACTACCCACTCCATGTCGCCATCAAAGAGAAGAACACGGACTTCATCACAGCCGTGCTTGCTAGCAAGTTCAGCGAGACAGATAACATGAAGAAGGTACTTTCACACAAAGGCGGGTCTAATCCAGGGAACTGTATTCACATCGGGATCCAAGTCGGGCTCGATCCGGCACTTATGATCAAACTGATTGAGAAGTCGGACGGCACTACGCTGGCAGAGCAGGATGGCGCCGGGTTGACGCCACTTCACTGCGCTGTAGACTACAAAAATTGCAGGAAAGGTCAATTCGAGGTGGTCCAAGCGCTCTTGAAGTATGGCGATGCGGCTCTCGACAAGGAAGGTAGCATTCATGGGTCGTTGTCACCTTATCAATACCACGAAGAAACGAAGAAGATCGAGAAGAAAAAGCTCGAGGAGGCGGAATGGACAAAAAGACAGAATGACGGCAGAGGAAGCCAGCAGTCGCGAATGGGAAATGACAACCGTGGTGTGCGTGACCCTTCTCATTTTCAAGATGCTGGTCAGGTCGATCTCCGGAAGACTGCCGAGGACGACAAGGATGACGCCAAAGAGCGAAAGAATATGGTCGATCTTGGCTCACGAGGATACGGCGCACGCAGACAGTCGCATGCCATTCAAACCGACTCAGTCGAGTCCCGGGTCAAATCACCGACAGTTGGTATACGTATCCCGACAGGGGGAAACTCGTTGACGCCGCCTCCACCAACCGACCGTGTCTCGTTCCCGCCAAATACTACCGCAGCAAATCTAGGTAGGCCAAGAAAGGCTGTGCGCGCATCACGTCCAGGTGCCGCAAGAAGATCAGTTGGATCCCAGAGACTCCAGCAACCCGAAGCCCCTCCAGATGACGAGACCGCGGATGAGATTTCGAAGGAACTGAAGTTGCACTACCTTCGAAGCATTTTCAAAGGCTCGGCTTATGCTGGATCCCAGGAATTTGCTGACAGCCACAGGCCAGAGCCTCGAAATCACGACAGGGCTGTCAGGTTTCTGTACGGAGACAACAAAGAAAGTAAGGAGCTCTCTACTAACATTCAATGGTGCGGGTGTTCGTGCTAATCAGAACTGATGCTCAGATCGTCACATATGCTTTAACTTTCTCGACGGCCCTTCGAAGATGACTGCCAACAAATTCAGGGCGACGTATGGGGGGTTTAAATTCGACCATGTTCTGCAGTACGTAGGGTTTCGTCGCCTAGAATTTATGTCGCCCGAGGTGGCTCCCAGAGGGAGTGGCCTCATGTCCAAAGCGGCTGCTTCCTCTGGGAAAGGAAGAAGAGATATGGAGGTCCCATTCAACTGGCTTCATGACAAAGGTGTCACCAACATCATAAAGGTCATTGTCGACGACCTGGAGCCTCCTTCCCACAAGGACGAGTCAATCCAGAATGCTTTGAAAAAGTTTGACATTGAGATTCTTGACTGGAGAAAGATTGACCTCTGTCCAGCCACAATCTGCACATCCTGTCCCAATCTCCGCGAAATCCACCTCTGGTGGAGTGGAAACAATGGGATATTGAGAGCGTGGAGTGAATCAGAGGGATTGGCGAGACTGGAACGACTGGAAACCATACAGATACACCAAACACAGGTAAGCTCTTCCAAAGATCCACCGCATGAAGAAGATGTTGAGCTTGGCATTTTGCAGGAATTAGAGTCCGAGTCTTGGACAGACACGAATATCGCGACGTTTCGCAAAAGACTGAGGGACTTGAGAAGTGCGCAAAACAGTTCTCGGAAAGCCAGCGACAAACTGCCACAAATTCGTGTTCCGGACCCAATCAAAGCCATCGATGGACCTGCCCAACGACCGACCGGGTTACACCCCAAAACGGACCCTAAAGTCCAACGTGAAACACATAAGTGGTTACACATAATGGACACGTTTGCCGATGGAGTATACAGGATCAAACCAGATCGCGATGTAGATTTCTTCAATTCTCTACCGCCAGAACTCAAGACAGACGTAAGAGTCGCATTGATTGACGACGGTGTGCAGTTTGGCCATGAAAGTCTGCAGGAGAAGATACAAGACGGGTGGAGTTTCGACGACGGCTATGATGGCGTTGATCTCCCCGGAGCGAGGCGGCCATTCCACGAATCCAGCACCGGACATGGCACTCTCATGGCCAACATGATCTGCCGCATCTGCCCGAATGCTAAGATTTTCGTTTGCCGGTTGAACGTATATCCTGGAGACGGTACCAAGTCCCTTTTTTCTGCGAAGAGTGCAGCCGATGTTAGTTCCCCAGACAGCATCGCCCCCAAAACTTTCCGAATGTTATCAGCTGACACCGAATATAGGCCGCTGAATATTGCGCAACTCGAGGATTTGACATCATTTCAATGTCATGGACAATCAAGAAATCCATATACACACCAGAAACTGCGAACGACTGGAAGGACCTTGAACGCCTAGAAAAAGCCTTGGACGAGGCGTGCAAGAATGGTGCTCTTCTGTTTTGCTCTGCGCCGGACGAAGGTGGCATATCGGATGAGAAGTTCCGTACTTATTATCCCGTAGGATGTGACTCGTTATCCAGTCGCATCTTCAAAATCGGAGCGGCTACCTCTGCCAACAAGGAAGCGGACCGCACGGGCAAGTCCTCGCAACTCGACTTCATCCTTCCCGGACATGAGGTCAGAGAGAGGGGAAGCGATGCAATCAAGGTTGACGACAGCCTTAAGAGCGGATCATCGGTAGCAACGGCTTTGGCGGCAGGCCTTGCAGCGCTTGTCATCCACTGTGTTCGCCTCGGCGCCATCGAAACCATCCGCGCACGAACCACTAGACGCAACAGCGAGGCGAGAAAGGTTGAAGGTGACGCCTCGAGCGAAGACGGCGCCAAGTCCGAGGAGAACACAAACGAGGACCTGATGACGGCGTTGGAGGCGGTACCGATCAAATCGGAAGACTTTGCTGATATCAAAAAGTTTGAGCACATGATGCGCGTTTTCGCGAGCATTCCACGACAGAGGAAGACGGGGGAGACTTGGAAATACTTGGAGGTGGACAATACTTTTGAAGGGCCGGGAAAGACACTGGTCAACAAAGAAGTGAACGAGAGCCAGAAAATACTGGCTGTGACCAAGCTTGCCATGAACTTTGTGAGCTCCGGCTTGTCGAAGTTGTGAGGCACAGTTTATTCGGTCAGGTTCATTTCACGATGGCTTTCTCATACAAAAACCTGTATGCATGGTTGTTTATAGAGGCAAGGAATCCGAAGATGCTTTACAGTCGACGAGGAGGCTCTCTTGGTTTTCAATTTCCAGCCTCGGCACTCCTAATCAACGATATCAAGACCAGAAATGCCAAGCCCACCAGCGCCTTAGCCCCTGCACACGTGAACCTCCGCTGGCCACGCGTTTGGTGCTTTAGCGTGTTTATTTCGCCAAGCCGGAAACACTCGAAGTCCTTTAAATCGACTTCTTTCCCCGCCCCAAGTGCCCGCCCCAGACTTTCCGACCACCTTCACCCCCCTCCCCCACCTCTTCCCGTCTCAACAGGCGTCAGCTAGTTTGCTCTTCTTCACCAACTCTCTTCACCCAGACCTGTTTGCTGTTTCTCTCCCCCCTTTCGTCCTTGCCCGATTTCCCCTATATACACCTCCCTTGCTACCCCTCTGCCCTTCCGTATCGGAGTCCAGTTGTCAGAGCACACTTCCCGAGGCATCGGTTTGACTTGACATGATGGATCCCCCCATACATAAGACACAAAATTCTTCGAGAGATTCGCAGCTATCCGAAGCATCGAACCCTACGGCTGGAGCCCTTGCCGAAGCTGGGCAGTGGTCGGGATTGGTTGATTGTCGATTCGGTCTCGATCTCACCCATGGTGGTTTGGAGTCGATGTCCTGCGGAAGAAGAAACACCCAATACCACACTGGGCAAGAAGAAGGATACAACTGCATCTCTCCACGATTTGTGAAGAAAAAGGAGTAAGGCTTTTCTTCATATGGAGCCGCTCGGCGCACACGGATTTCTGCCTCGTGATATCCTGCCTTGTTCCGTGGGTGGAGGCGATCTTCTGTGGCTGGCGGGTGGTGTGACTCGCTGAATACCCCAGAAATACCTGGGCCAGTTTAATAGTGACAGATTGTGCCTGCGGTTCTTCGCAAGAACTTCTTATGAAGAACCGTTGCGAGCTTCACAACGCCCGCCGCTATTTGGAGGTTGCTTGCCTCTCCGTAAGTATCCCCTGGACATGCAAACAGTCGTTGGCCAGGCTGGCAGATGTGGTTGTGCCGTCTTTTGCTCTCAAGCAAGGTCGGGAATCGCATTCATCAGGTGTGTCCGTTGCACATGATGGGCCTGTGAGCCAAGAGAGGTACGCTGGCTGTTACATGCAGGCCGGCCGATGAGGCGGACGAAGGGGATTACCTGGACCCCTTACCGCACTCGTTAGCTCGCCTGCTGGTGACGGCTTGACGGCGGTTGATGTGATCCTTTTGGCTCGCAGGTGATTGCCCAGCAAGCGTGTCTAGTGCCGCAGGTCTTGCCACACCCTTCCACGACGGATTATTATTATAATGCGGATCTGCGAACCAAAGGCACCTGGAGTATTGACCCCTCTGCCCCTCTGGCCACCGTTTACTGGCCCGTCAAGGAATCTCCAGGAACCATGGAATACAAAGGAAACCTCTTGCTCGGCGCCTGTCCGTCCGGAAAAGGAATTTTTTTCGGAACCACGAGGACGTGCAAAAACGACTGGAGCCACTCATGAGCTGGAGATACAGCAAGGAGCACAATCGGCATGATATACATTTTTCCTGTGCACGGCAACTCTTCTGGACGGACTTCAGATTTCGACATATCTGAGATTTTCGGTTATCGCAAACCCGAGACAATCAGGCTAATTTTTTGGCTGGAAGATGTTCCGCGGATGAGGACGAATACTGGTCCAATGCAGGATGGCAACGAATTTCTATTTTCTTGGGAAGGACTGAAAGAGGCGAAGAACCTTCCGTCGATCGCAGTCTTCAAAGATCATTTGGAAACTCGACCCACAAGTCTTGACGAGGGCCGGTAAAATGTTTTCCCATTGTCGAGCTGCCGCACAGAAAGCAGTCCAGAGTGGAATATATCTCTGGACTACCTGTCTTCTGCACCAGGGTGTAGAGGCAGTGAATCCATTCAGGCGCCATGAGCCTGATCAGCCATGTGCTTGGCCATTCCCCAAAACACGTGAGAGCGATCCGCTCTACTTGCAACCTGGATCAACCCCTACGACGTGATCACGTAGAGGCAAGAAAAAGCTCAAGTGCTCGGCAACGAACAAAAAGGGCGAACGTCGATAATTCGGGACACAAGCTTGTCGATGTGCAATCTCCTCACTTGGAATTCTGATTACGACCATAACGAAACCCCACAAAGAACCTGGGACATAAAACAATTCAGCCATGCGCAGGCCTTGTCATTGTGTTTTACCACGTTGATCATCGAGCACGGCCAACTTTCAAGACCCTACATACCGGAAAAAAAAACTGGTCCAACTCTCAGAGCGGGCATTCTCGAACGACCATGGTCCAAATCCCGTTGGATCTGAGGCATATCTTTGAAGAGGGCACAGAGGGAGCGAATTCCTATATGAGGTCCGGTCCGGTTCGGTCCGGTCCGATCACGAAGCTACCAAACCATTTCTTCTGAGGCATACACCCACTCATCAGTCAGTGGTCACCATTTCTGTGGGGTGCGATCTTTCAAGTGAGATATGATTGGAGGCTATGAAATGGATTGAACACAGCAATTGCGAGGGAATAAGAATATGCAACACGACATGATTCTGGCGAAAGGATCTCCAACATCTATCTTATATCCTGACGGAGATTTTCAATACATGGATGGTTCAACTTCATGCGTGTGTGTGTGTGACTGTGCGAGTCCCATGTTGAGTATATATACGGGCCGAAGACAGAACGAAACGAGACGATGGACCACGGAAACCAGCACACAGCACCCAACACGAAACACAAAATACCGAGAACTCAAAAGACGCAACCCCGAACAGACAGAAATATGGCCCAACTCATGACTTTTGCTTGCAAAAAAAAAACCCCCACCTCCACGACCACTGCGCTGCCCACAAGCGACCTACCAACCAAACCTATCTCTCTCTCTCTCTCTCTCTCTCTCCTTGTCTTTGACACCATGCGTGCGGAAAAGTGCCGAGCTGCGCTTTACACCGGTCTCGTCGCCGTTACGGACAGGACTGCGTGAAAAGCCGAGGCCTCATTTTACTCTTATATTTCCACACCGCGGTGTCGGAGGGAAGGAGTCAGATAGGCGGAGCTGGTCGGGCGTGCGTGCGTGCGTGCGTGCGTGCGTCAGAAGAAGGGATACAATTCAACAAAAAAGAAATGCCATATCCACATTCAATCTCGTGATGAAATGAAAAGGGGTCGCAGGAAAGGCAGCGCGTGTTTTTGTTCCTTGGTGGTTCTGCATCGCTGCGTTGTATGTTCAGAGTTCAGTGTGCCTTGTACTGGTGCACTGTGTGCTGTGTTTCCAATGTCCAACTCGGATCTAGAAGAACAGCCAGCCAGCCAGTGGGGTCAGGCCGATTCCTGGTTCCTTGACCTGGTTTTCTTGTTTTGTTTTTTTTTTTCAAAGAAAAGAAAACAAATAAGAAAAACCTTTTTCATCGTGGGGGTCAAACAAAAAGTTTGCACCATTTCTTGCTTGAGGCAAGACCATGGGGAAGAAGATGGTCACATACACACACACTGACCCCAATTTCTGCGCCGCATCTCGTTGTCATGTTTCTCTTTGCGGTTGGGAGTGTACAGAGAAAAGAGAACTACGAGGAACACGTTTTAAGGAGGCAGAAGACCGATGGTGGCAGAAGGCTGGCGATGCAGGAAAGAGAGTGACACAAAATTTGATTCTACTGCTCCAGACAATTCTATTGTGACGACGTTTGCTGCAAATTGACCATCTCATAGAATTTGGACGGTCTCCTTTTCTCATCTCTTCTTCCGTCATATCATGCATAAATACCAATACCCACACCCGGATCCTGCCATACAACTTTGTCTATTCCTTTGACCATCGGTCCAACCCGTCTCTTGTGCGCCAAGAACGTCCCTCTATGCAAAAGCTCCATGTTGCATATTCCTGCCACTTCGGTTCCTCACGAGAGCAAAGGTCTTCTGCATGCACTGTCTCTTCCACCAATCCTTGACTCGGCTGAGCACTTTCCGCTTCTTGTACGCAAAATCGGACATTGGAACCGTATCTCCCAAATCTGGATGTGGATACTCGAACGAATGCTGTGTTTTTATATGGCACGACTGGCTGAGTCTCATTGTACCGGTTTCCTGTTGGGTAGAGCTATGTCGTGTTCCTAGCAGTCCTGTGGACTTTGTGAATCCACTGCGAAGGCTGTGCAGGTCAAATTTCTTTCTGATGGTAGAAGGCTGTTTCTGCGCCATCGCAGCCGAGCTGTCGTCAGAAAAGAAGCTTTGGACTTCTCGGAGAGGCGGCCTATACAGCGCCTGAGGTTGGTCCGGGAACCGAAGGCTGAGATTCAGTTCTGAAGAAGTGAGCGGCGGCCCTAATTCAGGAGGTGCTAGCTGGGGCACCGATCCCAAGCGGGGAATCTGAGAACTGTACCGTGTACTGTTCAAAGGCTCGATGACGCTAGTATTGCTTCGGTGCGAATGGACAGTCCTGACTGATGCTTTTCGAACAATTTCAATGCCTTTCTTGACAGGGTCCGGCATCGCCGCCAGCATACTGGTCCATCTCCGAGGCATAGGCGTCGGCACAAGAATACTACCTGCAGAGACCGTCGTTGGAGGCAGTACTGCCACTGAATCTGCACTCAATTCGGCGTAGCCAGCGACTGGCGAGGTCTCGCTCATCTTTTCGGGCGAATCATCAGTTACCCATTCTTCATCTCGCCCAACGACCTCCAGCAACTGTCCCGTTTGTTCGAGGACTCCCAATTGCCCAAGACTCTGGGATTTCCTCCGGCTCTTCATCAGAATTCGTGCTCGCCGTCTTTGATGCGATGCTTGTCTTGCGAGCGTGTCGCTTTTTGACCTGCGATGAGTATGTAGCGCTCCTTGAGTCGGCAATTCGCCAGTTACCTCTGGGCTGAGACTCAGCTCCGACAATCTTCGGACCTTGAATTTCGTCTGTGGTGGGTCCGAGTCAATGTCGGCCATGTCTCCAGAAGTCAGTGAAAACTTTGCGTTGGATCGGGTAGACTTGGTCGACTCTGAGGTCAAGAGTCCGCTGGTTGACTGGAGTGTCTGCCACCCAGATGAATGATCCCGAAATCCGGAGCTCACAGAAGACAAAACTAACCTAGAACCGACCCGATCTTCTAGAATGGCTCCAGGAGAAAGTCTGGCATCCATACTGGCAAACAGACGGCGGGGAATGAGTCGACGCCTTTCGGAACTGGCGAGGCTGGAGTGTCGAATAGTTGAGCTCGAGGTCGTCGGTCTCAAGTTGCATGAAGACAAAAACCGCGGCATACTGGACGTTGCTCGGACGGTGCTCTCCACGCTACTATTCACTGCCGCCTCTGAATGCTCAGGGGGACTGTGTGTTTGGAGATGTGGTGCATCTTCGCAGTCGGTCCCGTCGTCATTCAGTCCTAGACATTCAATATGTCTATCGAGAAGGGACTCGATGGTGGACCTTTCATGCATGGTAATCTGACTGCCATCTGCGTTAGTGCTGGGGAGTGCTTGCTCAGAAGCCATTTTCTCCCACTGGCTCTGCTCCTCGACAGCTCCTAACTTCGACCCATCTTGCAATTGTGGGGACAGAACTCTTTCGAGGAACTGCAAGTCTGGATGCTCTTCAACGGCATCCAGCCGAGAGAAGGTCTGAATAAAATGAGCCGGTTTTCCCTGGTCAGGCACATAACTATCAGAAATTTCCAGGATGCGACTGAATCGCTTCCTACTCTGCGATGACATTGGCCGCTCGGGCATTGGCGACAAGATCTCGGGGTGATCTTTCGAACGAATGTCGCCGGATGTCTTTGGTCGTTCCTTTAACCCAGACGAATAAGAACCGAAGGACAGTGGTCTAAAATTAAACGAAGGTAATTCCCACTGAGAGTGAGCCCGTTGAACGCCACGGAATGCTGGTTGGTAGTTTTCGTCACAATGCGGATCTCCATATTCCATCAACCTAGATATGGAAGGCTTGTGGTCAAATACAGGCGAATGGACTCGGGCAGCAAGAGTTGTAAGATCACGCGGGCTTCGACTTGTATTTGGAAAGAATGCACTCGAGTGACTTGAGCCACACGTTCGACGTGAGGTGGTCGACGTCTGAGAATTATCTTTTTCGTCTTTCGATCGTCGATCGAGATGGTCCTGCTCGGAAGGAGGAAGTCTCTCAATCACCTGGTGGTTACTCCGTTAGCACACAAACGACAACGGAGATGTCTTGAACAACGTCAAAACTATTTGAACTCCTAACCTTTTTATTTGCAGAAAGAGACCTCATCGGTGGTGCGGTGGTGGCCCCAAGGCTTGACTTCCGGGGTGGAATCATGCCAGCGAAGCTATACTTGGACTGTTTTGACTGCTCGCTCACTCGGCGATTATGCGCTGTCGGCAGCTCCAATGGATGAAAGGCTGAGCCCGGGACTGTGCCGAAAGGTGATTGAGCTTGACGTCGTTCTGGTGCGGGGAGGTTGTCTAGGATTGTCTGGTCCATATTGAAGGGCAAATTGGCGGCAGCAGTGTCGTCGGGAGGAGAGAAACAATCCTCCTCGAGAAATGACTCAGAGTAGTCGTAGTAGTGAGGTGTCGTAGACTCGGTTGGAGACTTCGGTAGACCTCGAGACGAGGCAGCGCTGTGATTCCAAACTGGCCGGAAACTCTGGAGAGAATTGGACATGGGAGTAGTGGTCCTTTGATGCGGATGACCAGCGAACTCATTGAGAGAGGAGATTGCTGGCGACGGCAAACGAACGAAGGAAGAGGTGGAATTATTCAGGTCGGCAGGATATACAGGTGGACCAGGACGCAAACGATACGCAGAGATGGGGGAGGATGCAACCGTTCCGACACTTCCCACTCTTGGATAGCCATGTCTTGCACCATGCCTGTAGGGATATGCCTCACTGAGGGCAGGAGAGGAAGCCCGATAACCGGTCCGGCGTCTGTGGCCAGAAGTGATCATGGGGGAACTCGAATGCAGGCTGTGAAAGTCACGGTGACTGCGGAGAGTGATCAGCGACCTATGCGAGTGAAGTGGACGAGCAGGGACGCCGGGACCAGTGAGGTGTTGTTGGGATCTATGCCGTGGACCAGCTCTCTTGGAGCGGAACTCTGAGTGAAGAGATGTCTGGGCAGAATGAATAGTCTCTCGTCCTGATAAGGCCGAAGATGATGGAACCTGCCGAGGCCCATGGTGGCGGCGGTGAGACTGTCGTCTTCGTGGTCGTTGGTACTCGAGGTGAGGGTTAAACGAGGTATCGAAGGAACCAGCACGGCGTTTAGATGACTGCAAGCGGGAACTGGAACGAGGTATCCGTGAAGGCCGAACAGCGAATTGGCCACAGTCTCCCAATTCAGTCGTGTTTCTCAGCATGCTTTGCACGGCACTGGAGCGAAGTGAGGCCATGGACGTTGTTGGTTGCAGGTCATCCTGTGTGGCGCCATTGTGGGAGACATCTTTCTGGATGTTGGGACTGATCTCTTCAAGTGGCATCGCGAGCCAACGTTTCGCATATCTGTACAAGTTATAGGCGCTATATGCTGAAAGAGGATAGATGAGGCCAGACGATGATGTGAGTAGGAGTGAGTCAGAGTAGACAGACGAGTGAAGAGGGGCGTTCAGGACGTAGAGGAGCTTGTTATGCTGAGAAGAGTGGCATGAGGGACTTCATCCAGAAGATGAGACTTGGTTGATGATGAGGAGGTGAAGAGAAGGTGAAGATGAAGGTTCCCAGGGGAGCATGTGCCTTGGGAAGGTGCCACCTTGTAACCTGCAAAGTGAAACTGCGTTGAGGCCTGGGAAGGGACGCGTTCGACAACATGGCAGGCACATGGCAGCAGATGGAAGAGCATCGTCGCGCCATCTTATACTGCCATGGTAGGAGTGTTCAGCTCATTGCTTTCATCATTAACTCAAACATCCCGTAACTTGTTCCTTCAGGTAGGCATCATGCTAATCTTTCCTACTCCACCACCACCCCGTCCTCCTCCACCGCGGTTACGGGTGGAAGAGGCTTCTTTGCTGTTCTTATACACAAATTCCTGCAGACCTGAATTGCTGGTGCTTGACCGTGCACTGACACTACTCTTGACCTTTCTTGTAATACCACCGCTGCCTCTCTTCCCCTTCGTCACCGCTGTCCTTCCCCTCGAGCTTCCGCTACCACGCTGCTGAGGGCCACGTGAGGCACGGCGATTCCAGGGCACGGATTTAGGATGAGAGTTGCGCTTTTTAGACGCAGCCTTTTGGGGTCGGGCCTCGAATGCAGACGTCTGTGAGACTGCAATCTGTTAGTAGCTGGTAGCAGCTAGCTGACAGCACTCAACTTACGTTTCTCGTTGAAGTGGCTCACATCGTCAGCCACACTGAAGTAGTGACTACTCTCGCTTTCATCGAGATCTTCATCACTTTCCGTCACCCGATCCGCATCCTCATCGTCGCTGATCTCCACAATTGATGGGTCAAAAGGTCCATCTACATCTTCCCCTCTGGCCTCTTTCATCGCCTTGTAGTCATTATATGCACTTCTGGCCAGCCGCAACAGGACAGGCCCAAACATCTGGAACGTTTCTGGGTTCATTCTGCAAATATTTCGAAGTGCGGCCTCATCTTGCGGAAACTGAGTGGCGATCTCTCGAAGTACAACATCGGATATTGAGGTCTGCCGTAAACCTTTCGTGATTTGAATCCGCTTGATTTCCTTCTTTGCATTATCAACAAAGTCATTCAGGATATGTTGGTGAACCTCGTCAAGCCCTCCCGTCCTGTCATCTGTAGTAATTGGAGGTCCGACTTTTGTATTCCTCTTGGACCGGGTGCCGCCAACAGCGGGGACTGGGTCAAAAAAGAAGTCGGCATCTTCTTCCACTTCGTCGACGAAATCTTCGTCGGTATCCTCATCAAACTGTGCGCGAGGAGGGATCTTGCGAGACCTAGGCTGCAACGGCGAAGAAACGTTCGTGGACACAGGATAGTCATCAGCAGCGGCTTTGACTCCTGTCCGTTGTGTTTTCTTCTTGGCCTTCGAGCCGCCGGCTTTGGTTTTCGATTTATCTCTCGGCGAGACCAAGACTTGTAAACTCAATGTTCCTCGACCGGTCTCGAATTCGGAGGCTCGGGGTCCTGGCTTCACATATTGCGTAGCGAAGCCTGCAGTATTGACCTTGTTATATTCCACCAAAGCATCCTCACTAATGAGCCGGTAGAACAATCTCTCGACGTCCCCCCTAACCAAATCTGCCCCGAGCCCGTATTCGCGAAGGTTATTGTGGTGGAGGTCGGCGATCTTCTTGTTTTTACCGCCTCGATAGACATCGACACAATGTAACAGGGTAACTTGCTCTCGAGACACTTGCTGGACGATACGAATTGCATTTCTGGCATGCTCTGAAAAGTCTTGCGTTTCGAAGGAGCTAGTTGAGTTACAATTGTCACAGGTATTGTTGCAGTCTTCTCGCTTGAAGTGTTCGTTGAAATATCCGAGCACTTGCTGTCTGCGGCAATCGCTGCGATTCTCGCAGAACTGGACGACGTTTCGCAACAAGTGCTTCTGCCTCTCCTTTTGCTGCCAATCACCATCGCCTTTCTCGATCATCCGCTTTATGGAGGTCGTGTCTCCGTAGCCATAGAAGAGATAGCACCCAGCTCTGCCTCCGTCTCGCCCAGCTCGACCTGTCTCCTGGTAGTAACCTTCGAGACTCTTGGGAATGGTGTGGTGGATGACAAATCGGACATCTGCCTTGTCAATACCCATGCCGAATGCAATCGTAGCAACGATGACTTTGTAGACGCCAGCTTGCCACTCTTTCTGGATATGAATTCGCTCTGGAGCTTCCAGTCCAGCATGGTAGTGGCGGGCTTGAATACCATATTCGTCCTGGAGTTGCTTCGCAACATCTTCACAAGCTTTGCGTGATAGGCAATAGATGATTCCTGCTTGGCCCTTATAAGACTCCTGGATGAGAGAGGCAATACTTGTAAGAACGGCTTGCTTGCTGCCTTTGGGTCTCACCTCATACGTGAGATTGGGTCTGTTGAAGCTCTGCGTAAAAACCTCAGCGCCGTCCATACCGAGGTTATGCATACAATCCACTTTCACGTTTTCGGTTGCAGTGGCGGTCAGGGCCATCACTGGCACATCCATGAAACGCCGACGAACTTCACCCACTGCCTTGTAGTCGGGGCGAAAATCATGTCCCCACTGGCTGACGCAGTGTGCCTCGTCAATCACAATGCGTGCAAGGCGTCTCCTCCTGTTCAAATCCAGAAAGACCTTGAAGAACGTCTCGCTTTTGTTGAGCATCTCGGGCGTGACATAAAGAAGCTGAACAAACTTTTCTGGCTCGTTAGATCGTAGCGCTTCGAGGATATAGTTTCTATGTTCTTGCGAGGTCTGGCCGTTGACCAGTACAGCTTGAATGTGCAATTTCTGCAAATGATCCACTTGATCCTGCATCAAGCTGAGCAATGGAGAGACGACGATAGTCACACCTGCAGTCCGCCCGCTTTGCACCACGGCTGGCAACTGATAGCAAAGAGACTTGCCTCCGCCAGTAGGCATCAGCACAAAGGCATCCTTGCCACTCAAAGTCGCGTTAATGGCTTCCAATTGATTGTGACGAAACTCGTGGAGATGAAATTTCTTCCTCAGAGTTGAGTGCACTTCTTTCGACCATGGATGTTGCATCAGAGCTGCTGGTGGAGGGCGAGATGTGGATGATGCGGATGCAGGTTTTTGGGGTGATACCCTGCGAATGTTGTCACTCACTTCACGCAGTGCAGACCGTCCACTTCGGACAGGGGACGGAGCTGCTATTGGCGGTAGATTTTGTTCATACTGTTCTGCTGCCTTGTACATTTCTTCGTCATCCAAACCATCCTCGAAGTCTTCATCATCGAATGAGAAGTCACGAGCTGGACTACCCATTGTTCTTGAAAAGTCGCCTTCGCCAGCCTTCGCACCCACACTGGCGAGCACACGACTCGGGCCAGGAATATTGAAGGCATGAGGTGTGGGAGAGATAAGCCTAGCATCAGCCGACACTTGAGCCCTCTTGGGAGATTCACGATAGGGAGAAGGGCTTCGGTTGGACGACTTGATAGCCATGTCAACTGCATCGTATCTGTACAAGGATGGAGTTTGACGAATTGATTGCGTCGAGAGATGAGAGAGACCCCGCGGAGTCTCACTCTTCATATTCTTCGACGTTGATTGAGGCGGCTTTTGAGTCGAGGCAACCAGGACCCTCTGATCCGAGACCTTTGAGATTGGAGACAACAAACGGTTCCGGTCTGATGTTGGATGGTCTCTCATTCTGCTGGAGGTCGACACTCCCACCTGTTCCAAAAGGTTGAAGATTGCGAGTTCTCGGGCGTCGATTTCGCGTTTCGCCCTGAAAATCTTATTGCATAGCGAAGTCAAGACATCCTCGGGATCATCAGGCTCAATAATATGACCCGCTTTACGAAGTTCTTCTCGCTGGTCAAGCATTTGTTCCCGTTGATTTCGGAGTTTGAACAGAGTGGCAGATTCTTCCTGAAGTCGCGTTGCTGCGTTGATCTTGTTTGCTATCGCCTTTTGGCGATCTTTCAGGTGGCTAGAAGCAGCGCCCCGTTCGCACATCTCCTCCAGGATTTGTCTGCCGACAACTTCCTTCGAATCCTCCAGTCGCTGCACG